TAGTGACAATCTTTGTCTTCTTGACATTGAGCCTCAGTCCATACTGAAGGCTGCAGTCCTTGACCCTCTGCAGCAAGTGCATGAGGTCCTCCTCAGTTTCCCATCATCTGCATATAGCAATAGTTTAACCACTTTTCTGCCAATCTGGATGTCTTTATTTCCTTCTCCTGTCATAGTGCCTTAACAAGTACTTCTAATACAATATGGAACAGAAGTGGTGATAGTGGGCATCCTTTTCTGCTCCCTGTCCACAAAGAAAATGCTTTTAGTCTTTCTCCATTAGGAATGATACTGACTCTCGGCTCTTGGTTTTGTACATATACTTATTTACTATGTTGAGGAAATTCCCTTCTATTCCAATTTTGCTGAGTGTCTTTATCAGGAAAGTGTGTTGGATTTTGTCAAATGCCTTTTCTGCATCAACTGCTAAGATCATATAGTTCTTGTTATTTGCTTTGTTAATGTGGTGAATTACATTTATGGTTTTTATGGTGAACCATCCTTGCATAACACTTATGAATCTTACTTGGTTATGATGAATATTTTTTATGTGCTTTTGGATTCTATTCACTAGGATTTTAAAAAATATTTTATTTTCTTTATACTGGTTTAAAACCATTTACAAAGTTCGTATACTATGTTTCTCACACCAGATCTTTCTTGTTTGCTTGGCTAGGATTTTGTTAAGAATTTCTGTATCTATATTCATTAGAGATACTGTCTGTAGTTTTCTTTCTTGGTTATACTTTTGCCTGGCTTTGGTATTGGGGTTATGCTTGCTTCATAAAATGACTCTTGGGAGTGTTCCTTTTTTTCCTCTTTTTTTTAAAAAAATACTTTAAGTATTCAGATCTTCTCTGAATGTTTGGTAAAATTCAGCTGTGCTGACAGGTGGGTATTTCTGATCTGATTAAGAGTTGGTTGAAGGCTGGGAGCCTCTTGTTTGAAGCAGTTGGAATCCAGAAGGTAGGTTTTTTAAATATGATTAACAGTCAGTTGTGGGCCAGGAGACTCTTGTTTAAGCCAATTAGAACCCAGTGCGTAGATCTTTGTGATTAAAAGTTGTTTGAGGTCTGACATGAAGAAATGTTCAAAGTCCCTAGCTCTAAGAGAGATGCAAATCAAAACAACTATGAGATATCATCTCACCCCAGTAAGAATAGTAAAATAGAACAGCAAGCAACAAATGCTGGCGAGGATGTGGAGAAACTGGAACTCTTATTCACTGTTGGTGGGAATGTAAGATGGTGCAACCATTGTGGAAGGCGGTGTGGTGCTTTCTCAAAAAATTGCAAATAGAGATACAATTTGACCCAGCAATCCCATTACTGGGACTATACCCCAGAGAGACCATGTCTGCCGTCCAAGCAGATATATGCACACCCATGTTTATTGCAGCTTTGTTTACAATAGCAAAGAGTTGGAAGCAGCCTAAGGGCCCATCAACAAACGAATGGATAGAGAAGCTGCGGTATATCCACACAATGGAATACTGCGCAGCATTGAAAAACAAGGAACTCATCCAATATTATTCAAAGTGGGTGACCCTGGAGGACATTATGCTGAGTGAAATATCTCAGTCACAAAGGGACAAATACTGCATGGTGCCACTGTTGTAGAATGGGTCTGACATCAGGGTGGGGGTATGACAGAAAAAACTGGATAAATTATGTATATTGTATTGAAACAGATGAGGGAAAGAACAGATTAGAAGTGATATATGATTGAGTATTATGGTTAGCACAGGAATCCAGAATTAAGGTTGCATAGAGAAGTGTACTCGGGGTGGGGGGTGGGGGGAAGGGACGTGGGAATTGTATACTAATTAAGGAATTTTTTTCTTTTTTTTTTCTCTCTTCAGAGGGGGAAGCGAGCTAGTGGGGACGGGTGGGAAGGGAGAAAATTGCAGCAATGAATGAATGGAAATCCAAAACCTCTGTTAAAAAAAATAAAAAATTATAAAAAAAAGTTGTTTGAGGTCTGGTGTGAAGTTTGATTTGACATTAGAGGTATATACTAAATTGTCAGTTTGTTGTATTTTGGATAATACACTGTTCTAATTGCTATAGCACTTGTCTGTCAGTTTGCAGTACTGAGATAACTTGTGGGTTGCTGTTGATACAAAAAAACCATGCCATCAATGTGTCAAATGCCCCAAGGGTTAGCCTGTGTGAACAAGTTTTAGTAGAGCTCTCAGATTAAGACAGACCAGGAAACAGGATTAGCCATCCACTTCTTAACTAACAGGACTCTGAAAATCCTATGAACATTAGAGGAAATCTGGATAGTATTAGAGGTAAAGCCCAGAATGGAAGTCATTCAAAATGAGGAAAAATAATGGCAAACCTCCTTCAATAACTGGAACATGGAATGTATAAAACTTGAATGTTGTAAAACTAGAAATTGTGAAAAAGGAAATAGAAAGCATGAACATCAATATTCTAGGCATTAGTGAGATGAGATGAACTGGCTTTTGGCACTCTGAATCAGATAATCACATTGTATACTAGGCTGGGATTCTAATCTCTTGATCGTTTCAAACATAAAAAAATAACTGCAATTCTCCCTAAGAATACGGTAGCAGAACTTGTCTCATCAAGTAGACCTTAAACCTAAAAAACCCACTGTAGAGTCTAACTCCTCACAGTAACTCTAAGCCAGAGCTGAGCCGACCCATAAGATTTTTCAAAAGCAGATCACCAAGCCTACTTTGTGAGGTGCCTCTAAGTGGGTTTGAATTGCCATCTTTACAGTGAGTAGTCAAGCAGGTCCTCAGAGTCCTTAACACAACAATGCTGGACCTTCCCCCTCTGATCCTCACCTGATCCCAATCCACCTCCCAGATAACACAGATCTAGCCACTCATGGCCTACTTCCTCCCTGTATTTCATTTCATTCTACCCATCTTGCTACTAAACTAGAATCTCTGAGGGAACAAGCATGAGTATTTTTTCAAAACTTCCAGTAATTACAACATAGGGTCAAAACTGAAAATAAGTATTCCAGAGTTAACACTGGTAGATACAATTAAATGTCATTCTTCCTTGCTTCTGGAGAAGAAACTCCCTTATCCAAATCTTAAGGTGTCAGTATCTCCTAAAGCATCCACATAGAATCAGTTATCATAGGTCATGAAATAAATACTGGGCCAAAGAGCTAGGAGAGTGTCTCTGTCTATCAGCCTGCAGTGATGACCAACTATACTGAGATGAATGATCCCTAGGAGGAAATGATGCATATTTCAGCATCTAAAAAGAAATCGTGTCACAGGGTATTGGTATCAAACTTTCTATATTTACAATGACATTCTTTAGTATTTAAGTGGTCTTTAAAATACTGTAAGGATTGTGCAACAATGAAAGAATCTTTTTAAAGAGAAACATGAACTGTGGGGGGTGAGGGGAGAATAATGTTCAACAATGAATGAATGGAAATCCAAGTTTTCTATAAATTTTTGTTAAAATATCAATAGAAAATGTTTAAAAAGTTTTTTTTAAAAAAAGAAAAATAATCCTATAAGGGAGAACTGATGAAAGATGTGTACTTCTATCCCTATGTCATAAAAAAGGAAATAAAATGTGATTATTGTTATGTGCCATCAACCAAGACTCTTATTAACCCTATGAACAATGGCTCTCTGAACCTTGCCAATCTGAGTCAACCTCACTATTTGATATACTTGACCTCATTGTTAGTTACTGTGTCAAACCATTTCATTGAAGGTCTTCCTCTATTATGTTGACTTCCCACCTTTCCAAGCATGATGTACTGCTCCAAGGACTGACACTTCCTAACAATATGATCTATGTATGTGAGACGGAGTTGTACATCCTTGACTCCAAGGAACACCCTGATTTCATTTGAGTCACATGGTTAGAAACTTTATTTAAGAACAAATGCCACAAGAGTCCACAATTAAGGTTGCATAGTGGAGTATACTTGGGGCAGTGGGAGGGGTGCGGGGGATTGTATATCAAAGAAAGAATTTTTCTTTTACTTTTCAAAGAGGGGAGCGAACTGGGGTGGGGGGAACTGAGCGAAGGGGGAAGGGCTGGGCAGGGAGAAAAGTGCAACAACGAATGAATGGAAATCCAAAATCTCTGTAAATGTTCATTAAAATTTTTAAAATAAAATCTAAAAAAACACCCAAAAAGCAAAGATTAGTTTTGTGGATCATGCTAGAAGTTCACTTCCTCACATTACATCATTCACATACAGACCTGAAGGAGAAAAAATCCACCGCCCACAGCTGTTGCCGCTAACTTTCCAACCTTCTGGAATATGAAACCCGTGCACCTACAAAAATCAAATCAACATTAGACAAGCTGATGAGCTGTCAGATACAAACAAATATGCATTTCTCATAATATCTATAACCTACTTACCCTAGGATGAGCTATCCCCATCCTGTGCTATATGTGAAACCAGAAAGCCCCCAGATTTAAATCAGGGTCTTTCTGAGCTAAGTCACTTCTATTTCCTTAATTTGAGCCCCAGTTCCACAATTCACTTTATATTCTCCAGCAATCATTTAAGGCTGTGTTGTTTAAAGATGATTCTAACAATTTTAAATGGTACCTGTAATATATTTGAGATAATTTCATATCAGTCTATAGACTTCGCAAGTTATTTTTATACTTCAGGTATTCATTGTTTGCTAAATTTACTAAAAAGATATAAAAAGATTTAGTGACAGTTAGAAAGTATGGGAGAAGGGTATGCAATCTCCTCCCATGCATTTAACTGCCGCTGAAAACCCACCAGAGGGTCAGCTATGGGTCAGTTACAACCCTATGGTACACAACAACAAAAGTTAGAAAGTAGAGTATCAAAAGGATGTCTATTTGTCTTTTATTGAGTATGCAAAGGTACAGACTGTGTTGATCACAATAAATTGTGGCTAACCTTGAGAAGTAAGGGAATCCCAGAACACCTGATTGTACTCATGCAAAACCATTAATTAGACCAGGAAGCTGTTGTCTGAACAGAGTAAGGGAATACTGGATGGTTCAAAATCAGGAGAGGAGTGCATCAGGGATGCATCTTGTCTTCATATCTTCCAATCTAGATGCAGAACAGATTATTAGGGAAGCTGTATTTTATGAAGAATGTGGTATCAGTATTACAGAAAGACTCAACACCTGGCGTTATACAGATGACACAACTTTGCTTGCCAAAATGGAGGAGGAGTGAAGTGTTTACTGCAGAAGGTCAAAGACTGCAGCCTTCAATACAGATTGCACCTCAACATCAAGAAAACAAAGATTCTGACCACTGGGCCAATTTTAGCTTGCCAGGTTCCACAATCAACACTCTTGGCACCAGCAGGTAGGAAATTAAACAAAAATTAATTGCATTAGGTGATTCTACTGTCAGGGATCTCTTCAGAGTTCTGAAGAGCAAAAATGCAACACTAGAGACTAAGGTGCACCTGATCTACAGTCTTTGTAATTACTTGCTATACAATGAAGAGCAGGACAACGACTAAGGATGACAAAAGAAGTAGTAATGCCTTTGAGTTGTAGTGCTGGAGAAGAGTACGGAACGTATCATGGACTTGCAAGAGAACAAATAGATCTGTCCTGGAGAGGGTGAAGCCAGTTTGCTCCTTATAAGAAAGGACGGTGAAACGCCATCTCACATGCTTTGGGCATGTTGTTAGGAGGGACCAGTGTAAGCATGGAAGAGCCTGAATGAGATGGACTGATTCAGTGATTGGGGCAATGGTGGTTGGTGTGTCAAGAATTAGTGAGAATGAGAATGACTCACAATAAGGCAAGGTTTAGCGTTCACAGGGTCTCTATGAGTATATGAGTAGCACTCAATAGCACATAACAAGAAGTTACAATAATTACATATATTTGTTACTACAAAAGCTTCATCACTCATACATCTAAGTTTTTTGGCTCCACTGATTTAAATGTATGCGCACATTCACACATGTATACATACACATACTCTTTCTTCTTCTTTCTCAACAAGAACTTAAAAGCAAGGACCAAAGCTGCTCTGAAAGAACTGGCAAAAAACCAAAGCCCAGGAATAGATGCCATACCGATTGACATAGTTCAACAGACGCTGCCCTGGATGTACTCACCAAGTTGTGCCAAGAAATCTGGAGGACAACCACCTGGCCAAGTGACTGGAAGAGGTCTATATTTGTTCTCATTCCAAAGAAAGGTGACATGACAGAGTGTGGAAATTATCAAACAATACCATTGATATGACATGCAAGCAAGATTCTGCTGAAAATTATAAAAAAAAATGACTGGAACAGCAACAACAGAAAACTTGCCTGAAGTGCAAGCTGAATTTAGAAGAGGCCGTGGCATTAGAAATATTATAGCTAATGTCAGATGCTATTTGACTGTGTGGATCATAACAAACTGTGGCTGACTCTGTGAAGAATGGGAATCCCAGAACATTTAATTGTGCTAATACGAAACCTATACTTGGACCAAGAGGCAGGAGTCAGAACAGAG